AACTAGACATGTGGACCTTCATTTTACTTCTTACAGATTTGATCTAGCTCTTCTAGTTTAGCTGTAATCACAAAAACCGCGGGGACACTTTCATTTGACTGGTTAGATACAATAACTATAGCCTTAATAATTATAAGTTATATTAATTAAAAATATATTGTATTTTTTATTTTTATATAATAATAATTTCTTTAATAATAAAGTATTTTTACTTAAATTATTTTAAACAATATATTCATCATATTATTATTAATATTATTAATAATTTAATTTTTATTATAAATTACAGATCTTATTATAATTTTAGATTAACATTTTTTAAGTATTCATAAATATGTTTAATATGTAATAAAAATTACAACATAAAAACATACTTAAATTAGATAAAGTAGTTTATAAAATTATAATTTAATTTAAAATAATTTGTGATAAAATATAAATATATTAAGCGATAAAATAAAGTAGAACTAAATATATTATACAATGGCTACCAACGAAGCAAACACAAGTCAACATTCAGTACAGACTTCAACAGGTAATATAGAATCTTGCTCTTTTTTTAAAAATGTAGCAGAATTTGTAACATAATTATATTTTGATAAAATGTTTACAGTTTGTAACAACAAATCAAACAAAACTTTTTTTGAAAATATTTTCGAAGAATTAGTGCCGATAGGGAGGGGAGGGTTTGGCCAAATATTTAAAGTAAAGCATATACTGGAACAGGAGATGTATGCTGTTAAAATAATAAAACTACTTGGTAAGTTAAGTAATATATAATTGAACTATATTGTACTGTACATTATATCATCGACTATGTAATTTATTGACAATAAATTATTGTACATGACTTGTATTACAGACACTTATACTGACAATAAACGACAGGAAATACTAAAAGAGGTCCAAAAGTTACTGAAACTGCGGTCAGAATATGTGGTAAATTACCGCAATTCATGGCTAGAAAACAATCATCTGTTCATTCAAATGGATTACTACTCTCAAAATCTACAGACAATACTCGACACAAAAACCATTGTCTTTGAGAGACAACCAGAAGACCCAATGGAAATAATCGAGTATTTCATTTGCTGCGAAATATTCAAAGAGCTTTTAGAGAGTGTAAAGTATTTACACGACTCGTGTCCACCGGTTATCCATCGAGATCTTAAACCGGCAAATGTGTTGATATCACAAAATTATAATAATAATCGCTTCATTAAACTTTGTGACTTCGGTTCCGCCACTTACCACGATATGATATCAATGAGCCACACCTCAAATGTCGGCACTTATCAATATATGGCACCAGAAGTGTATCAGACCCGTTATACCATTAAGGTTGACATTTATAGTTTGGGAGTGATAGCGTTTCATTTGTTTGATTTATATAACATGTAAGTCTAATAGGATATGAATTAATAATTAACATTTATTTCATATTTTTTGTTTATAAGTGAAAATCCGATTGAAAAATACAGTAATACCTGGTTTTCAAACAACTTTAATAAATTATTTGAAACAATCGGACAAATGTCACTATCAGTGGCATCCAATCGGCCGACTAGTGGTCAAGTTCTCTATGACTACGACCAGTGGTCAGTCGATAGTCATATCAATCTAATTACGGCAAACGTTAATGAAATGAATGAAATATTATCTACACTTACTTTAAATGACAACTCATTTTTTTATGACTTTTTTATATGTAAATTAAACGCCAAAATTCCCATTGATATCAATACAAGTAACAAATTACTGAATAACAAAAAGGTAATTAATAGTTACATTTAATTGTATAACATATAGTTTAACAATATAAAATCATTCAAAAGCAAAACTAGGCGCGGTTTATCGCGAATTGCTCTTGAATCACTAATCCGATTTTAAATCCGTTTTCACTGGATTGTACCTGGATAATTATTAGATCGATTAGTGTATAATATGTTATTATAATTAATTGTTTTGGTATTAAAATATAAAATTAAATTTAGTATTTTTTATATTAGTGTATATCTCGTGAACCAATGATTCAATTGAAATGATCTTTTCAGGGATTTATAACATGATATCCCATAAGAAAATTTGCCATTGACATTATATACAAAACCATCATGGTTATTTAACCATTTTAGTTCACAATACACTCAATTTCCCATTGCCAGTTATGTTAAATTAAAAATTTTATTTTATCATAACGATCCTATAAACCACATTATTCATATCAGAATAGTGGTTAAAAATACTAAATTTAATTCTATATTTTAATATAAAAACAATTACTTATAATAACTTATTATATACCAATCGATCTGATAGTTATCCAGGTACAAACGGGTGAAAACGGATTTAAAATCGGATCAGCGGTTCAAGAGCAAATCGCGCCTAGTTTTGCTTTTGAATGACTGTATAACATAACCATATTATAGTAGTTTCTCACATAAAAATGTAAAGTTATATTTTACATTTTAACAATATTATTTATATAAATTACTATATTAAGTCAGATAACAGGTGGGCGATCAGCGACCGGCATGACATGTTGGATTTTTTCCAGAGTCAGGGCACTGTGTCTGACGCCGCACCCCGTGTGCCGGCCCGCGACCAGAAGCGCAACATTATGCTCGATGTCTACCGGTTTATCACACGACGAACGAACAATAACAAGTGCCGGATTGCCGCACCCTTCGATCCAATCGTGCCCGATTGTTGCACAGGTATACAACATTTTAAAAAACACTTTACCTAAACAAAATTTCATGAACAAGCATATTACATTATATGAACTTTTATTTATAGAAGATTGTCCAGACGATCTGGATAATGATGATGAGCAACAGGATTCATGCCAAGAGCATTTGGTCGATACTGGTGAATCACTCTCAACAAATAGTGGCAAATATGATGGCCAATCGCCAGAATTAACCGCCAGTAATTTCGGCAATATACCCAAACCTTGTTTAAACTCAGTGCATTGGTTTGGGCCCGTCAACCGCTGTCCGGACGATTTGCGGGCACTAACCGACCCAATGGGCCCCGGGATTACCGACCCGGACACTATCGCTCACTCAAACACTATAGTGTATAAACTACTAGTGCGGGAGTGGCACCGGGCAGTCGGGACCGGGATGTTACTTAAAGAATATTTGTATCACACGCTTGACATACTATTAACCAAAGGCGCTACAGTAACCTACTGTATTGAGCACCAAATCAGTTGCCGACCCCGAGTTAATATAGCACTGTTTGATGCCTATGTGCCGGCACTCAAGCGTTTTATTGTACATATTTGTGGCATTGATGAAACACTATCGGCCAGAGTTCAGGTGGACCTGTTGATGGCCTTAGAGTGGCTCATATACGACAATTCAAAGTACAGGCCGGCTGTGGCCGATGTGATGGACTCACTAGTGTGTAAGAATGTGGTAAACTGTGCGGCCTTTGTCGAGTGGTCAATGGCTAACAGCCCCCGACTCTTAGATAAAAGCTCATTAATTGGTAATATTAAGGCTGCTGGATTTATTTTAGTTAAACGATCTCGGTCTATTTAAATTCATAGTTCTCTAACAGTGTCTATTTTCAGTCCTTATTTACTACCTCTTTCTTTCTTTAAATCACTAATGATAAATTATCTACTTATTTTACGGCTTTATTTAATGCACATTTAATTGTAATTGTATTTTTAAAAGCGTTATGCTAATAATTAAAGTGTAATTTAATTGTTAAACAAGGATCACACAGCAATGATATACGTTAACTACATAGCCGAACGGGTAGCCGACTTGATCCTATAAACCACATTATTCATAGCTGAATTGTGGTTAAAAATAGATTAGCATTATCAACACATTAAATAAGAGTTCATATGGTTAGCACCTATGTAAAGAGATTTAACCAATAAAAAACATATAATTGATTTAATTCGTTAAAAGATGAATATGCCCAATTATAATTTACCTTAACACCAAAACTAATGCTAAACTGGATTTATTGGTATATATTGTAGTATTGATCATTAAAAAGCGATCTAATTTTTTTGATAACTTAACTCGATTCACTATGTGATTAATAAATACTCTAGTGATTAAATATAATCTGACATGTACCTGGATTTAAGTGATTTATAGTTGTATATTATTTACATTATGATAAGTTACAGATTATGATTAAATAAATTAATTATTTTGAAATGTTTTAAATGATTATTTGCATTTATTTTATTAAGTATTTACTTTTAAACTAAGATTAAAATAATTATTTAATAGTACAGGTTTCTCATAATTTCACAATTTTAAGTAAAGTTACACAATTACTTTACATTTAATAAATATATTTTAATTAATAAATAAATCTACGGTAGAGAGAGAGAGAGAGAGAGAGAGAGAGAGAGAGAGAGAGAGTACTATTGCGGGTAATTTAGATTTCAATAATTAGATTATCAATCTTGTGGGTAATTTTGTTTAGTATTAGTTGTATCATTTAAGTGTCGCATGCTAACTTTACCAAGCCTGCGTCTGACCACTCTAAGTATCCATTCAATTTGCCTTGATACTCGAGTGAATGTCAAATTGTGTTTGTCCTTCAAAGGCATACACTGTCCGTTTTTATACACCATGTTCTCGGAATAGATCCCAATCAAAACTGCCACACCATTGTCAATGTACTGGATTAAGGGTCCGCCATTGTCACCCTGGTGAAATAATTACAACACATACATTAGTATACTATATGGCATATAGTATATGCATAGTATAACTTAAATATAGTAATTTAACAAAATGATAATAATAATGTGTTAAAAACAATCAAGTAGGTATACCTCGCACTTGAACTCGCCCGCCTGTGATGGGTACCGGGTGGCCACTATTACCCGACCTTTACCCGGCTTAAAAGGTTTAATCTTGGTCCAACCGACCATGGGCAGTCCATCAACATTGCCATAACCAGCAAATAGGGCGTATTGACCATCACGATTGATCTGGTTCATATCGGGCAAACACACAGGTCTGGCCAGAGTCATGGTCTCCTGGTCAAACACCATGGCCGTGTTCAGCTCAATTAGCCCGATGTCATACTCCTTGTTAGCTTTGTCGGACGTTTCAAACATGGGGTGCACGTGTGTATCCTTGGCCTCGTAATATTGCGTGTGCTCCAAGTGTTTGCTGCTAAACGCGCTAGGGTAGATGCGCAGATTGGCCACGGTGCAACGTAGCCCGCAACTTTATTTAAATGGGTGGTCAGTTGTGTGTGGAAGTGATGTAAATAACATTTTATTTTAGTTGAGCATTTTATAAAATAGAGTAATAACTACAGTACATTTAGTAGAAAGGTATCTAGATAAATAAAACTCACAATGTATTTTGACCAGCCGTTATAATCCAGCGCTCATTGAATATAGTTCCTGACGCTGAGAAATTGCTATTAAATTAACAATGGTAATTAAATAAATCAAATACTGTTACATTGTATAAATTATAGTCAAATAAATAAGTCGAAGCTTGATGTAATAAGTTGATATTAAATATTTAATTTTAAAATAATTACACTCCGTTTTGTGTGCCCGTAATGTATACAAGCCACGGGACCTCTCCGGGAGCCGCGGGTCGACCCCGGCGTACGTTAGCCAACGCCCCGTTACTAGTGTGCCAACTGAAACACCCCTCTTCTAGTTTATGGCCCATATGTGCCACTCCGCACCCGGTTATAGAAACACCAGGGTAATCTCTGATTGTACCGTGGCTTACCATCGTTACGCTGGGAACGTGGACTAAATTAACAAGGTAACTGTGTTTAATAATGTGAGTTTATAATGGCGGTAGTTTATAATTGTTGTTTGTTATTACCTAGCGCATTCAGACAAAACAATATTAAAATAGTGTAGTTCATGTTGTTTAGTTTAATTAGTCTTTATTATAAATTACTTGAAACAACAATATTAATACAATAGTTTTTGTTTTATTAATAATTTATCATATTTTTAATTAATAAAATGATTTTGTAATATTACCCATAATTATAAATTTACCTTTTTAAAACAATCTAAGATTACATTGTTATATAAAACCTGAAAAAATTATTTTATAATATTATAATTAGCAAATAACATTTTGCACTACAAGTGCAATTAAATAAAACTAATATTGCTACATTTTAATAACACCATGCTCAATAAAATAGCGCTTAAGGGGCAAAAATTGATTAACATTTGTGTTGTAAAGCCGTTTAACAATATCGCGATCCGGGAATTCCCGGCGAGTATCAGGACTCAGGAAAAGTAATATTGTAAACATCCGGTAGACTAACATAAAAAACTTAAACTGACTCAGCATATAATCGGCCGTATTATACGGCTTAGTGGCCCATTGGGAACCATACAGTTGGACACTCTCCTGGCGATAGACCTTGATGAATTGTCTCATTTCCGGTTCGGCCGTAAACTCAATTTTACCATCAACGGTTATTTCTACGGTGGGCATAAAAAACTGACCAAGGTCGTAGCCACGGTTGCCATACGTGGAGAACTCAAAGTCAATCATCATTGCCTTCTCTCCCTGTGGCGATCCCTCCACCCCCTCCTCGTCGGTGACCATAATGTTATTGAACTTAAGGCCGTTGTGGGAGAAAACCAACGGCCCGTCAGACCACTGGCCACGGATGCAGTCGATAAGCCATTGAATCTCCGCTTTCAGGTCAAGGGTCGGCTCCCGAAGCTGACAGCCGTACTCTCGGAGCACAGCCTCCAGCATAGCGTTAACTTTATCGCCCGATTCGGCTAAAAACTGCTCAAAATAGTTGCAAATCCAGTCCCGATCCCGACCTAGCGGTGCGTTAAGGGCGTGAAATCTAGCCAATTGTCGGGCCAACCCAGTCATCAATTGCTCGTCATTGATGTCACTTTTAGCAAAGATCCGGTGCTTATAATACCGGAGCACTTCGCCCTCGGGGTCCAGTCCGTACACATGAGGTCCTAACCTTTTGTGAGAGGTTAGGGACATCACGATCGGGTCGTTGAATCGGGGTTGGGTCGGGTGACCGATCTTAAAGTCATACTTCCAGCCGTAGTATTTGACAATTACTTCCCGGGGTTGCGGCTCATCACAAGCATCGCCGGCTATCGGAGCTGCCGGTGAAGTTAGTTGACATAAGCATAGATGATTAGTGCGTCCGCCAGACACGGGCCGCACCCGCACGTCAGCGCCGGTCGCTGTCGACCAAATGCCGGCCAAATAGCGTCGGCATAATTGTATGCACTTATCGTTGATATCGTCGGAACCGCTGTATATTTTTGTGGCCGATGTTTGTGTCGGTTTGACCATATTTTTCGCCCCCTTTTCAGTTATTATAATCACTGTGGAATGTAGCTTGGTCAGTTTATTGCGGCGATATTTGCAGTTATAGCAATACAATTATTATAAATTTACAGATGGTGTTATTTAAATGGCAGATGTTATTTCTATTTAGCAATTAATTATTAATTTATTTACATTTAATTATATTACTCTAGAAATATTTGTTTATTAAATTTTTATAAATAAATAAATATAAATATTGTATTAAAATATCTTATGCACATTTTATTTGTTTATTTGTAATCTTATTGTTTAAATCATACTAGCTGATATAGCATATAACTAGCGTGATCACCTCTAAGTTTAAAAATAGAGAACATTTGACCAGATTTCCTATTAAATAGAGAACAAATCGAGAAAACATATTTTATGTTAATTTTAATTTTAAATTTAAAAATCGGAATTATGTAATACTAATGTTAAAGTAAAATTTATTGTGCTTTGTGTATAAAAAATGTCAATTATTAATCAAAAAAGTGTCAATTCTTTTAAAAAGTTTATTATTGCATAGTTGAATAAATATTTAATAAATGTAAAAACATTCCTATCATTTATTTTAAATTTAAAATAGAGAACTGTTCTCTGAAACATATAACATAGCATCGTTGATATGATATTTACTGTATAATATTCATGATGTGCAGCACTGCAACCTGAACAACACAAGACACTCCATTCTACTAAAAAAATCAGTTATAAATTATAATGTTTTTTAATTAATAAGCTAACTCACATTTAGTGTACAACTAACAAGTTCATAAAGAATAAAACTAGTTATTAACAATATTATTATTATAACTTATAGATATTATCACATATTATAAGAAATCCTACGTTATTAAATCAAGGTATCCAATGGTTTCAGCTTATTACAACAATTGTTATCACCATTTTGTATTAATAGTGTTAATTATTTATATACGCATCTCTAATATTGAATCTGCCACACCTAAAAATTACTGAATTAAATAATTAATAATTTTATGATCAGTGAAAGTTTTATTATAATATATTTATTTTATAATGAATAATAAACTATACAATTAAAAGAGAGTAAATAATGTGTGAAATTATATCCAAATTTAAAATATGTGATAAAATAGCCGATTCGGTCAAACAGGAGATTAAACTGTTGCACGTCTTCGACACCCTCTCCACCCAGAATTGCGGCAAAACGTCATATACATAACCAATGAAGACAAGGCCTACGGCTTAGGTGACAACACTAACGGATGTCTGGGCTTACCGAACAGCTTTGAAATTAAAGTACCACAGATTATACCGAGACTGTGCGGTCAACAGATCCAATACATAGTCACGGGCAACATGTTGGGGCTGGCAGTGACTAATGAACAATCAGGTCAGGGAATATTAAGTTGGGGACACATTTTGAAGGGCCGCTTAGGAAGATTTAGACAACTCAGCTATATGGAGCAAATAATCAGCAGTTTTGCACCAATAGCATTTCATCTATTCGCTACACCCCAAACAATTCCATATTTTATAAACAAACAAATACGCGCAGTCAGTCTAGGGCACGATCATGTACTGGTGCTCACTAGCGATGGCCGAGTGCACGGGTGGGGCAGTAATAGTGAGGGCCAGGTTGGCTGCGGTCAGCGAGTTGGCCTAGAGATTAATGAACCGATCGAGTTGGATTATTTTACTGATCATTATGAAGTTAACATGATAAACTGTCACAATAGTTGCTCGTATGCTATCACGACTGAAGGCAAAGTGTATAGCTGGGGTACGAATATCACCCGGCAATTAGGCCATAACATATCAGACCCAATAGTATACAGACCGCGATTGATCGCGTGTTTATTAAATATTAGATGCGTGTCATGTATGGGTATTACCACGTTCTTTCAGTCATTCACAGGCTGTATGTATTATTGTGGTGAATATAATCAAAATGGCAATAGTGTATTGGAGTTAGCCCCCAAACTACTAAACATTGAACATGATATCCGGCGCCTACCTATGCTGAACATGATCAAACATTCAACTAATTATATGTGTGTGGTTGCCAATGATAAAGTGTTTACAATTTCTAAATCACTTAAAATAATTGAAAATGGTTACTCAAATTTTGTCGATTTTTACGCAACAGAATTACAATTAACTTACAATACATTAGATTTACAGCATTTATATGACAATGAATTAAAATCTGAAGACCTATTAATACCAATAAATATTCAAAACCAAATAATTAGCAATCAAAATGATGCTGGTAAATTTATTTTCTAAATATAACTTAAAAACTCTGTTATTAAATATAATTTATAAATTAAATTAATAAATAATCTGTTATGTAAGTAAATTTAGGCATAAGTAATAAACAATCAAATCGATCCAGCGCAATAACACAAACACAGACTAAACCCGTTTTGATAAGCACGATTAGTCAATATGAAGGTATATCAACACAACTATAACAAAATTAATCATAATCAAATATTATAACTATTATAATAGATGACAGCTACGAGTCATATAAAAATTTTTACAAAGAGCATTTTCAAGAGTTGTCATTTATAGGGAGGGGTGGGTACGGCCCGGTGTATAAAGTGGAGCATAAATTAGACGGTGATTATTATGCGATAAAAATTGTCGATTGCCTTGGTAATATATTAATGTAATTTTTATTAATTTATTAATTTAATAAATGTTCATATTTAAATATTAGAAAGTTATGATGAAAGTAAACGAAAAGCCATATTAAACGAAGTTAAAAGTCTAGCAAAGGTGCGCTCGAAATACGTGGTAAAATACCATAACTCATGGCTGGGAGACAGTCGGCTGTATATACAGATGGAATATTGTCCGCAAAGTCTGCGCAAAGTATTAGCGGAAAAAAGGCTGGCATTTGGCCGACAATTGGCAGAACCAATGAATGCATACGAGTACTACATTTCTTGCGAAATATTCATTGAACTCCTTAAATGTGTACAATATTTGCATGAATTGAAGCCACAGATAATTCATCGTGATCTTAAACCAGAAAATGTGTTAATTGTATATAATTTAAATGTGACTAATTTTAACCAAGGTCGATTTATTAAACTTGGTGATTTTGGCCTTGCAACTGTGCATGATAGTCAAATACATTATAGAACAAGTAAGAAACACTCTGCTGATGTTGGTGATTTAAGGTACCAGGCACCAGAAGTTGTACACAAAAAATACGGTCATAAATGCGATATATATAGTATGGGGAAAATTGGCGAAGAAATGTTTGATTTAGATTTAAATTCTAGGTATACTACATTTAAAAATCATCTTCAAATTATAAATTGTATTATGTATAATTATATTTAAACTGACTTGCAGTATATACAATCATTCCTCAAATAACGATGTGCTAAACTCACGTGTAATGTGTTTGCGTGGAATATTACAACTAATGATGTCATACCCTGTTTGGGATAATAGACAGGAGTGTTCGCAAGTATTGTCAAAATATACAGAATGGTTTATGGCACTATCAAACTGTAGGCATAGTATAATTTAAACATAGTAATTTAACAAAAAAAATATAATATGAATATATTATAAACCACCATAATGGTATACCTCGCATTTGAACTCTCCGGCCTGCGATGGATACCGGGTGGCCACTATAGACCGACCCTTACCAGGTTTAAAGGGCTTAATCTTTGTCCAACCAACCATGGGCAGTCCATCAACATTGCCATAACCGGCGAACAAGGCGTACTGACCATCGCGATTAATCTGGTTCATTTCGGGCAGACACACGGGTCTGGCCAGAGTCATGGTTTCCTGATCAAACACCATAGCCGTGTTCAGCTCGATTGGCCCGATGTCATACTCCTTGTTAGCCTTGTCGGACGTTTCAAACATGGGGTGCACGTGTGTATCCTTTGCCTCGTAATATTGCGTGTGCTCCAAGTGTTTGCTGCTAAACGCGCTAGGGTAGATGCGCAGATTGGCCACGGTGCAACGTAGCCCGCAACTTTATTTGAATGGGTGGTCAGGTGTGTGGTGTGGGAGTGATGTATATAACATTTTATTTTAGTTAAGCATTTTATAAAATAAAGTAATAACAACATTCAGTAGAAAGGTATCTAGATAAATAAAACTTACAATGTATTTTGACCAGCCGTTATAATCCAGCGCTCATTGAATATGGTCCCGGACGCTGAGAAATTGCTTTAAAATTTAAAATGTGAATTAAATACATCAAATACTGTTAAATTGTATATAAAGTTAAGTAACTAAGTTGTCACATGATGTAAAAAGCTAATAGTAAATATTTAATTTTAAAATAATAAGCAACATAAAATAAATACACTCCGTTTTGTGTGCCCGTAATGTATACAATCCACGGCACTTCTCCGGGAGCCGCGGGCCGACCCCGGCGTACGTTAGCCAACGCCCCGTTACTGGTGTGCCAACTGAAACACCCCTCCTCTAGTTTATGGCCCATATGTGCGACTCCGCACCCGGTTATAGAAACACCAGGGTAATCTCTTATTGTGCCGTGGCTTACCATTGTTACGCTGGAAATGTGCGCTATATTAACAAGGTAATTGTGGTTAATAATGTAAGTTGTACAATGATGATAATTTATGGTGGTTGTTTATTATTACCGAGCGCGTTTAGCCAAAACAATATTAAAATAGTGTAGTTCATGTTGTTTAGTTTAATACAATTTTACTATTATTATAAATAGTAAAAGAGTTAACAATAAAATTAATACAACAGTTTTTGTTTTATTAATAATTGATAATATTATTAATTAATACAATAATTTTGTAATATAACCCATTATTAAAGATCTAAACTTTTTAAACAATATAAGATTACATTTTTTTTTATAAAACCTGACAAGTTATTTTATCATATTACAATAATTATTAGCAAATAACATTAAACATCATATTGCAATTAGATAAAACTCGTATTGCTATATTTTAATAACACCATGCTTAATAAAATGGCGCTTAAGGTGCAGAATTTGATTAACATTTGTATTGTAAAGCCGTTTAACTATATCGCGATCCGGGAATTCCCGGCGAGTATCGGGACTGAGAAAAAGTAATATTGTAAACATACGGTAGACTAACATAAAAAACAAACTGATTTAACATATAGTCGGCCGTATTATACGGCTTAGTGGCCCACTGGGAACCATACAGTTGGACACTCTCCTGGCGATATACCTGGATGAATTGTCTCATTGCCGGTTCGGCCGTAAACTCAATTTTACCATCAGCGGTTATTTCTACGGTGGGCATAAAAAACTGACCAAGGTCGTAGCCACGGTTGCCATACGTGGAGAACTCAAAGTCAATCAGCATTGCCTTCTCTCCCGGTGCCGATCCCTCCACCCCCTCCTCGTCGGTAACCATAATGTTATTGAACTTAAAGCCGTTGTGCGAGAAAACCAACGGTCCGTCAGACCATTGGCCACGGATACAGTCGATCAGCCATTGGATCTCCGCTCTCAGGTCAAGGGTCGGCTCTCGGAGCTGACAACCGTACTCGCGGAGCACAGCCTCCAGCATAGCGTTAACATTATCGCCCGATTCGGCTAAAAACTGCTCAAAATAATTGCAAATCCAGTCCCGATCCCGACCTACCGGTGCGTTGAGGGCGTGAAATCTGGCCAATTGTCGGGCCAACCCAGTCATCAATCGCTCGTCATTGATGTCACTTTTAGCAAAGATCCGGTGCTTATAATACCGGAGCACTTCGCCCTCGGGGTTCAGTCCGTACACATGAGGGCCTAACCCTTTGCTAGACGTTAGGGACATCACGATCGGGTCGTTGAATCGGGGTTGGGTCGGGTGACCGATCTTAAAGTCATACTTCCAGCCGTAGTATTTGACAATCACTTCTCGGGGCTGCGGCTCATCATTAACATTGCCGGCTACCGGAGCCGTCGGTGATGTTAGTTGACATAAGTATAGATGATTAGTGCGTCCGCCGGACACCGGCCGTACCCGCACGTCAGCGCCGGTCGCTGTCGACCAAATGCCGGCCAAATAGCGTCGGCATAATTGTATGCACTTATCGTTGATATCGTCGGAACCGCTGTATATTTTTGTGGCCGATGTTTGTGTCGGTTCGACCATATTTTTCGCCCCCTTTTCAGTCATTATAATTAGTGTGGAATGTGGCTTGGTCAGTTAATTGGGGTGATATATGCAGTTATAGCAATACAATTATTATTAATTTACAGATGGGGTTATTTAAATGGCAGATGTTTTTTCTATTTGGTAATTGATTACTAATTTTTTTAACATTTAAGTATATTACTCTAGAAATATAGACTATTAACATATTATCTAGATTTTATAAATAAATAAATATTTTATTAAAATATTTTATGCACATTTTATTTGTTTGTTTTATTAATTTTTATTATGTTATAAAAACTGATTATTTTTCAAAATATTTGCATTTTATTTTTAGATTAATAATTATTTTACAACCATAATAGTTAAGAATATGATTTGACTGATTTAAATATACCTTGATTGAGTTAGGCTTTAAGTAATTAATAATTGCTAATTATTGAGATGGTATACCCGGAGCTAATGGTTGGTTAGGCTCAGAATCAAAGTATAATCATATTGTTTAAATCATATTAAATCCTCATGCTAACTAACCTTATATAGCATATAAAATAGCATGGTTGATATTTATATATTGTATTGATTGTATATAACACTACAACCTATACTATAAACAACCGGATTTATACTTAATATAAATACTGTGTGTAAACGGATTAAAAACAGGGTCACATTGTAGGGCGCAGGTAAAGTACAGATGAATAGTAAGTATTGTATTATTGATTGGTATAAATAACTCTAAACTTTTTGTTTTAATGCAAAAACTTATTTAAAGCATTGATTGAAATACACAACTCATGTGAACAACACAAACAAAAGTTGTTATTAACTTGTGTTTAAATCAATTTTAATTCATACTTAATTTTTATTTATTAATATTAAAAACTATTAAAACTAAATTCTACTAGTTATTTATTATAATATAATTAATTTATACAACAGATATTAATATTTATATTGAATAAGTCAATAGATTCTTACAACAACAAAATGTCGGGATATGTGAGGGAACGGTTCCCCGACCTGCCGGACGAGAATTGGGACGATTATTGTTGCCGTTTATGTCACGAGATATTTCACAGTCCGGTGTTATATCACAGCACATGTTGTGGTCAGTCGTTTTGCGAGCACTGTATCACTCAATGGCTTCAGACCAACACTACCTGTCCATACGATGGGAAACCATTGACAAGAAATGATTTGTCTTTTTTAGCAAGGTGAATAACAATGTGTAAATTAACAATTTTACAAGCAATATATTTTTAAATAATAATTTTTTTTAAAATTTAACATCTATTAGAAATAAAATATTAGCATCTCGAATTTATTATCTAATTATTTATTTACAATACTAATTAAATCATTTAATGTTTTTAACCATGTATGTTTTAGAATTATGACGAATAAATTGGGTGGGTTTAAAATACGCTGCGATCGAATCGGGTGTCAGGAAGTGGTCAAACTCGATGACCTACCGCGACATATAGCTAACTGTCGCTATAAGATCGTCGGATGTGCGAAATGTCAATGCGAGTGGACATCAGGTCACGATTGTATTCGCTCGTTGGGCAAAGAGATCAGGGCATTAAAAATAGTCAACAAACTGGCACAGAATCACCATCATAATCACAATGATTGTGGTGGACAAACAGTACCCGCAAGCAAAACTATAACCCATGACCAGACAGTTGACGAGTGTGGGCCACACCCGTCGACGCTGGAAGTGTTGCACAACACAATAAACGCCGATATAAGCGACAAAGTAATGGGAATGCTGAGAAAGCAGTTGGCCAATGGGACCCACCCGAGCAAAGTGTGTCAAGATGTTGAGTATCACGTGGGACTCGAGTACGGCGGCCAATGGGTATGCGCGGTAGATATGGATCCTAACATCGGCACCTGGTCTTATGAACTCCAACCGGGATGTTATTTGAAGGTGAAATTTGACCATATTACATTTATAGTGTATCGCTCAAATAAAATTGTAATAAATTATTAAAAATAATTTAATTGAATTTTTGCATAACATTTAATTTTATCTTTTTTTTAATAAGTATTATTAATCGATAATTGCCTAATAAACTTTTTTATAGCTACTAATAAACATTTTATACATTAAAACATTATATTTAACAGTTTATAGATCAAAATTATCATAATGAGTAGCAGTCAAATTAGCCAATCAAGATCTACTCATATGAATTTTAATCAAAAAACTATTATTAACAATTGAAAATAGTGTTAAAACTCATTTATGATATTAAACTTAAGCATTGGAAAATGTATTTCAACTTATTGGAAAACATTCATTTTTGTGATTTTTATATTAAATCTTATCAAATACTATGAATGAGTTTTAACATGATTTTCAATGACTAAGAATTATTGTCCTGATTAACAGTCATGATTTGATTTAAATAATGGCTAAAATACCATGTTAATCTTATATTTTTTATAAGTATATTGTAGTTTTTATATGTATGTAGGCTGACCAACCGTCCTCATTCTAGAGTCTCTTTGTTACTGTCCTCAGAAGGAGTTAATTAGGACTATTTATTGTTGGCTTGGCCAAAAACCGAGCGCGCTCGATTTTTTTAGAGTAACCAGTTGTTCCCTCAAAAAATTACATGGATTTATATATTAATAATTTAATAAATTTTATTGTCATCAATTTTCATATTGATAAATATAGACAGACAAAAAGTGCGTTTTGGTGCTTTCTTCACAGAAAAACTTAATTTAGATAAAGTAATGTTTGACTCATTGTATTCACACAACTTTAATATTTGTAATAATGAACTATAAATAATTTTTCTCTGTGAAGAAAGCACCAAAACGCACTTTGTGACTGTCTATATTGATAAACTAACACTTAAATAATGTTAAATTGTAACATAAATTGTATGAGAACGTAGTGGAAGATCGAATTTATGCTAAAGTATTTTATACAAAATGCATCACATAGAAAATACTATTATAAAATATAACATAAATTGCAATTAATTTAACTCTTGTTATAATAAATAAAATTTAATTAATTCTATTGAAACAACTTCAAAATATAACTGTTAATGCTTATTATTAAAGCATATCAAAATATGCATTTATAAGCAGTCAAATATGTAATTAAATATGCATTTTAAAATGGTCAAATATGCATTTATAATTTTTAAATATGTGATATAAATATTATGTAATATTTTTTATACGCAATTTAGCAAAATGTTATGATGAAAATGGTCGTTTAGCTTTCAAAACTCATTCAAATATTAGTAATTAATGGCAAAATAAATTAGAAATACATTATTTATTTTAAAACAATATAATAATTTTCGTCACTACAATATAGT